TCTTCCTTACGCACCTGTTTAATGGAGTGGTGGGCAGACACTGAGCGCATTGCTGCCTGGACCTGCTTGTACTGTGAAACCAACACATCACTCTTGGACAGTGATGAAGACGAGCTGGTTTTGGAGATGGATGAAACAGAGGATGAGGAAGAGGCAGCCTGCTGCAAGATCCGCTGTTCAATCTCCTGCTCCTGCTGCAGAGCTTTGACAAATGCGGCCTTGAGTCGAGTGGTGTGCTCCGCCTTCAAAGCCTTCTTCTGATTGGACGACATGCACTGGTCACACAGGACGGTGCCACTCTTCTCCTTCCTCCAGCGGGAAGTGAAGTCAGTATTGCACTGGGCACAGATGTACGGCTCTCTGGGGACGCAGTTGGCCAGAGCGAGAGCAGAGCCTAAATTCCCTGTAAATAAAGTTTCAGTTAAGACATGCTCCTCAGCAATCGTTTACTATTACATACTTCTAGTACCCACCTCGACCATGCATCTCTAGTAATTTCTGCACGACTTCTTCTAGTCCTAACAGATAGATGAACTCATTATTGGCTGCTGACGGTAGAAAATTAAACTCCGGAGCAGGAGGTTTGGGAGGAGGGATCTCGAGCAGCGTCTTTTCCAACTGTTTGCGAAGTGCCAGTTTCGCGGCTGCCTGTCGACTTGCTGGGGAGTCATTCAGACTAGAGTTGGACACTGAAGAGCCCTTTAAGCCTGTAGAGGCCTGCAAAGAAGACACAAACAAAACATATGAAACTGCACTTAAACTCAGTTAGGATCAACGTGGTAAGCAGCTTTTAGAGGAGAGTCTGACCATGACGTTGCTGTTGGGGACATTGGCGACACGCATGAGTCCCTGCTCAATGATCCTCTGGCCTTGCACCTGGACATTAGGCACCGAGGCCCTGGGAGCGGGGAGCAGGCGAGGCGGCCCCGAGCCACTATGCTGCTGCTGTCGGAGACTGGCCATCTGCTGAGCTGTCACTGTGATGGGCTAAAGGAACAAAACACCACAAGGGGAGAAATAGGCCAAACTGTCATTGTCACTTTAGGCTTTATTTTTATTATAGAGGATTTCAAAAACACAACTCACCTGGGCTCCTCTAACCAGAGGCGGCATGACTTTTTGAAAGTTGGTTTTGGATGGGACGTGCTGCCCACCAGGCACCAAAGGAGGAGGGACCACTGTGCCCGAGCTACGACCCGTCACCTATAAACAACAAATGAATTAATACTTGTAGGCAAAAAATGGCATTCAGTTAAAATTATAGCAGGCGCAGTCATACCTGCAGAGATCCTTTACTTGATGTAATGCTACCACGCACAGAAGGTGGAGGAGTGGCCACTGAGCCAGTCTATAATGAATAATTGTCTTTAGTACCTTAATATGCATGCTGTGGTGACATAAAGAGATACTCATCAATTATCCTGTATCTAATACCTTCTGAACAGTGCTCTCCTTCTGTATCTGACTCTGCCGGAGTTTCTTCAGCAGCACCAGCTTTGCCTCTTGGAGCCTAAGTTCCTCCTTCAACTGCTTGATAATTCGCTCCCTTTCCTCTGGAGAGCTCTTCTGCAAAAGCCATCATACAATAAAACTTTCATGATAAGTGGTACAAATTGATATTGAGGTGTATGTTTGAAGCAGCAATAAATACCCCCCCCCATTTTAAGAATGATGCCACTATATAAAATATGTGAGGTGGTTATACAACATAGTGAGGACACAATAGGTTTTTCTGGTATTTTGTAATAAGAGCAAATTTGTGGTTAACTATGAACAAAAATGTAAAATAATGATTGACATATTTGTTGAAATGTTTTAATAGAGACAGGACCATTGATGTTGTTCATGTACACTGTGTATATGACCCAGGGTATTTCTACTACATTAACTTTATTAACTATAGAGATCATGAATCAATCACAATACTGCTCAAAGTAAAGTAAAAAGAGGGAAAACTATTAAACACAGACTTTAGAGAAGACACTTGAGGACTTTTTAAGCATAAGATTAGCTGAATGTGAATAGTGCATTATGAATTTAGAACTTACCATTAGTTTATCCGTGTCAGTCTTTGTGAAGCAGTGGCCGTTCATGAGGGGACTGGAGGGTTCATTGTCTGATAACACAATGACATCGTCTGGAGATGGAGGCCTTTTTTCCTTTTTAATATCACTGCAGACACAAACACACAATACAGTTTGAATTACATGGACGCAGATATTTCAGCAGGATCTTAGATGCAGTTCATTTTATACCCAGTAGATGGCACTACGTTATTATCATTACCAATTGTACTGTGCAAATGTGCTCTGGGACACACAAGAACAACCAAGAGATCAATAATGGAGTAATGGCGGCAGGGAAGATTGTAACATGCCCACACCCCAATCGGGAGCTAAAGGACAGATGTGGTAACCACGGTTTAAGCATTTAAATGAAAACAGCTGAAGACAGATCACATGAAACATACACCACAAACATCATTTTCCCTCAGGACATCTGTGCTCTAATGTTGAATGTCCTTTCCCAGACATTATCAAGAACAAAGGCGACTGGTGTCTTCATATGCATCCATAAAGAAGGGGAGAAGAAAGGTGGGGGCCACAGAGTTTTATTGCACTTGGACCACCACAGAATGTATGCATCTCTGTGGGGGATCCTGTTGGCGTTCCTCTAGAATGTTTTCAGTCAAACCTGGGGTCTGAGGTAAAAGCTGTACTAGGATGGTGTGTATGAATTCAGGACGCATGCAGCAGTTATGTAATTGTTCAGGCACTGTGCAGCGAGAGGCTTCAGCGCTATAAGCTAAGGCTGAGTTTATCGCTCAGACCAGCCCTCCCTTTCCCTGCCCCTCGAGTCTGTACCTCTGTAGCAGGGCCTGTGGCCTAGTGGCTGGCCACAGCCTGGGCCTCGCCTCTGCCCTCCCTCCGGCAGCAGAGTCACGAGCGGTGGTCCGCCCGAGACACTGAGAGGGTGACAGTGGGGGAGGGGAATACATGGCCAGGAGCCAACCTATTGTGTACACTCTGGTTCAGTCACTACTTCACACACCCCTCCCCCAACCACAAGACGTGTGCATCTTTATACTCAACTCATCCACCAACTTTTTCTCAGCAGCACACACATGTATGCCGTTGTGTACTCGCACTCACACACAAAAAAAGATTTGGGTCAGCGAGGTCAACTTCACACCAAAAAATAGAATCTAAAACTAGATTTCCAAGACCAATGACACTAAAATAACCATGTGTTCATGTTAATAGATATGTGCTCAGTTCAATATATTTATTTAGCAAGAGAATCAATCTGTATTACCAGTATCCTTATGAGAAGAAGACAAGCACAACTGATGCCTCTAAGGCAGGGGTGTCCAAACTTTTTTAATCAAGGGCCACATATCTAAACACAGATGAAACAGAGGGCCGATCAGGGGCCGTAGACTGGAGCTCAATACAGGGAATAATTGAAATATGTGCATGGTTAACATGCTAGAATGAGCCATCAGTCTTTACGCTAAGATCCTTAAAACCAAACACAAAATATTAAAATTGGCTTTATCAAAGTAGATTTTCAAAAAAAACTTGCAGTAAAAAATATTTTTTAATTGATGCAAGGTAATTTGGGCCAATTCACCTGGAAGCTTGAGGGCCAAGAAAAAATTGTCTGTGGGCTGCATTTGGCCCCCGGGCCATAGTTTGGACATGCCTGCTCAAAGGGATCGACAAACACGGCATTTGTGTCTACCTAATTTTACATCCAAGGCATTTTGTCACTGGATTCAAAACTTTGAATATCATCATAAATGTTTGTACCTAATTGCAGTGTCTTATACAAGCTAAACACAGAGCATTGGTTATGTAAGGTCCAGTGTTACTGCATGCCTCCGCTTTGCACTGACCCCGATGGAGTGTTACAGAATATGGCAGCTCTTACTGTTGGGCTCTTCTCAAACATATTGTTGTTGAAGGCTCCTGGCCAAAAGGTGTGGTCCGATATAAACATCTAAACAAAGCACTCTAGACAGAGTATGCAAACTACAGCAGAGGGGATTATGGCTTTCAGACACAGTGGTTCCTGGTTTAGATAGCTTCATGTTAGGGTGGACTAGTATGACGGATTAGCAAGGCTGAGCAGGTTTACTTATATTCAAAAGTCGAAAAAATAGTCATAACAAAGTGAGAGTGGGACAGGGGTCAAAGGTGAACCTTTAGTGACACATCATAGAGCTCTAACAGTTTAATCTCCACTATGATGCACTCAGCTCTAACCAAACTCTGCTTCTGTCTAACTCCAAATGCATCGGATGACATCAGACATTTTTGTGCGTGGTCATGTGACACACCCACCGGTCGTCCTGGCCCCTCCCTCCTGCAACTGCTCCTTCCATGGTGGAAACCATGGCAACGGCCAGTTGGAACCAGTTTGTGACACATAGGCTTCATTTTGTGTGAAGTGTGAGGCAGAGTTCAGGTGCTGCGGTGGAGAAAATGGAGCCCAACCCCAGGAGCCTCAAACTTTTCAGAATGGGGGCAGGCAACAACAACCACACAGCAACTTCCTGTATGATTCCTGTCAGACACACAACAATTCAAGGGCCGCGAGAAAGCAGTTGATCACTCTCAAGTTCACATGTGTACACAGCATTCATGTGCATGTGGGGAAGGCTTCAGTAAAGTTTCAAAACTACACTTAACATTCACAAGGAGGTATTAAAGTCAACTTCCCATGGGGAACAGCCTCGAGAGGGCCTAGAGGCCATCTTCGACCAAGAGCTCATGAATGTAATGTGTAGAGACCTTTGCCCTATGTTCACTCTGTTTGGATGTTGACAGTTAAACTCCAGACTCAACTCAACATGCAAATACAAGGGAGATAGGGATGTGCCAATAGGGATACCACATACCAGTATCAACTCAAAAGTGGTACTTATGATAACACTTAACAGGGGCATTGTGTGACATTCATTTTCAGTGTAAACCAACAGTGATCCACAAGAGAATCAACTACATCTCAGTAAAAAGGCTGAATTTTAGACCAGCCCCAAATGTCTTGATTTATTCAAAGTTTAGCTATGTTAGTGCAGAAAAGGCCCTGTTGTGGAAAAACTGGCTTCCGTGCAAGTAAGCAGAAAGTATAAAAGACAAATATGGTACTGCTACTCCTCTGTAGAAGAGGGTACTTTTTTTTATTGCTAAGGGGAAATAAAATTTAATAATTCAAGTAAGAACTCAAAAGTCTAATGACTTTATTTAGGTAATTTTATAAAATTCAGTGAGAAACTTTATAGACATAACTTCTCCATTCCAGTGTGAATGCTCTGCCACACAAAACCTCTACAATGGCTTTTAAAATATGAATCACATGTTATTACTAAAGCATGATTTTAAAGTAGTTTCAAATTATGATTTCAGCTACAATTCCTGATTGGATTCTTTCAAAATCGGGCAGCAACAGAAAACAAAAGTAAAACCATTATACATGCATATAAATATGACAGGTAGATGAAGTAACTTTAAAATAACATTTCTTGTGCGTTTTTATTATTATTATTTATTTGAAAAGTTTGTAACTCAAGTATAGGTAGTGATTCTGAAATTGTAGTGATATTTGCAGTTAACAGAAATAGTGAATTTTAAATGGATGATTTAAGTGATTTCAGAACACCTAGAGTCCTCGTGAGTGGTCTCACCTCTTGGATGTGCTCATGTCAACAGGCTCGTCTCCGGTCTGCACCTCCACTTTGATGGTGGCCTTCACCTCCCCGGCCTTTAGGATGCTGTCCGCCTGCTCGCTCTTCAGTTTGAGCCCTTCACCCGTGGCACCCTCCAGCTCTGGTGGGCTCTCTGCCGAGTCGCCCTGCTCCAGTTTGACCCGTTTATTGTCCATGTCCCCCGTGGACCCAGTGAGAGCCGCATGGTCCCTCTCCAGAGCCCGCTTCTGGCTGCGGGTCTGACGCACAGCCTCCTCTGACATGGCTGCTCTCACTCTGAAGAAGAGAAAAGAAATGATAGATTATTATACAGTTTAAGACTATATTAATCTCTCAAGAGATATTCATTCTCTGCTTATGGACCCATCCTTCAGCCAGTGTCATTGGCTAACCTGTCAAAAGCAATGGGCTGCCGAGGTACAACAATGGGGAATGGGGTTTCATCTCCAGATCTTTAGTCAAGCTTGGTCAGGATCACCTTAGAAGCATGCGAACTATGAGTGGCTCAGGACTCAAACCTGCAACTTCCTTGCTGCATAGCTTGAGTGCAAGCCACAGGTTTAAAAAGGGGAACATTATGTGAAATTGAGTTTAACATGGTCTTCCCTCATCATAGCTTACTCAAAGTTTTCTTTCGATTGATTCATGTACATTTGAGTAATCCTGTACTGTAATGCTTTTGAGGCTTGAGGACTCACAGGGTATCCCCAGGTTTGACTACCCCAAATTTAAAGACTTTTTGAAGACCTTTTAAAGACCACTTTAATGAAAATTAAGACCAACATCGCTCCTATTATGCAGGCGAAAAACACCAGATCCAGTACCAATAATGACCATTACTTATTGCTTTATATAACAAAAAATACTTTTATTATAAAATCTCATTCAGAACTCATTTATAGCAGTATGCATTGCTTGTAAACTTGCCAAAAAAATCATTTATAACATTCTAACAAGACAAACTAAGTATTGTTTGCGCATACTCCAAATTAGACGTTCATTCATATTATATGATTTAAGACTTTTAAGACCCGGCGGCTAACCCGACTCAAAAAATGTCCATTTTCAGCTACCCCCCCATCTTTGCCCACTGTCCTGTACTTACGGTTATTTTAATCATCCAGACCCCAGCTCATGCATGTAGAGTTGAAAAAGTCCTGTAGTTATTTCAAAAGGTAAATGAAAATCAGCTGCTTGCTACGGTGAAATGCCAACAGGCAGAAGTCTGGGCCTGTCAGTTCTGTAGCGTTGAACACTAATCATTTTACACATTTCTATTAACACTTTAAAATTGATATTCCAGATTTTACAGAACAAAATCTAAAATGAATTCTATGTTCATTATAGTTTAATACTAAAATACCACAATAGCATAATACGTCGTCTTCAATGAAAAAAACACACGAAACCACAGCAGCACCTGTGGATAATAACTTTTCTAAACAGTAGGTATCATTTTCAAAGTAGAGATCCGTGCAACATATAACTCAACTGTACGTATAACTCACACGTGGTCAGACCAGAACTCAATGACACAAGAGAAGAACAAATGTGGACCAAAATGACAGGTTCACACAGCTGTCACAAACTTATGTATCATGTTACATTTGAGAAACTTGATACGGTCACCTCCATTACAGTCAGAAACGTTAGTTAAGCCAATAGCAAAAGGTCAATTTCAGTTCTACGATCACTAAGAGCATGGACATTAAGATTTTACCCAAATACGTTCTAGATCAGTAAAGTTTTGTCCATTTCTACTCAAGTGCAAAGTTCAAGGTTTATTTGTACCCATGGGTAGATTTGTTTTGCAGTGAAGTCAGACGTATGCGAGCCATGCCATAGAAATATCACACAGTCAGACAAAATGTAACAAAATATAATAATTTAAAAGAATGTGTTTAGATGGTGTTCAGGGCCACACCACTCAGCGCTAAACAATGTAAACGTACACACTATGGGATATTATAGCCAAAAGAGGAACATTTCCATAGAGACAAGCAGGAAGAGGGCAGAAAGGACTATGTAAGTAAGATGCATGTTAAGTGCAATAAAAACATCCAAAAAGAAAAATTGTGTTTTTTGGTTGTTGGTTTTTTTTTTGCTAAAAGAAATGCTTTTTTCCCCCCCATACACAAAGCAGTCCCACAAAATTTGTCCAAATAATACAAAGTGTAACAAAGAAAATATTAATAGGTTATTAAACAAGTGGGCAGTATATCCAAAAGTTGAACAGTAAGTAGCAGAAGGAAGTAGAAGAACAAAATATCATCTGTTACAGCCTCTTTAAGTAGCACAATTTATTGGAAGTTGTAAAAGTAGGGAACATTTCTACAACTCAAGTAAGATCATGCTGTAATCTTTAGGTCCAAGAATAATTAAGAATTTCCTTCACTGATTAAAATCCAATATAAAAGTCAGCATTTCCTTTTGCAATAGTAGTAATAATAATAATAATAATAATAAATTTTATATAGCACTTTTCTGGACACTCAAAGATGCATTACAGACCATTATTCATTCACTCCACATACAGTGGTGGTAAGCTACTATTGTAGCCACAGCTACCCTGGGGCAGACGGAAGCAAGGCTGCCAATTTGCGCCATCAGTCCCTCCTACCACCACTCACACATACACCACTTTCATACTAAGCAATGTGGGTGAAGTGCCTTGCCTAAAGAAACAATGACAGCGTTCCACTATTACAACTTATTTATAAAGTGCATGACATGATAGACTACTAATTTCACTGAATTTGTATAATTATATTACATAGGTTTCCCTAGTTTGACCATTTTTATGAAGTTTGAATGTGCTTCCTGGTTGAACATGGATATCCTGTAATAACTTACCTAGCAATCATACTGTAAACAAAGGCAAAACTAGTCTAATTTAGTCAATATTTACTCAACAATTTAAAATATGTCAACAACTGTAATGTTCAAACTGTCAGAACTGTGTTCCTTCCCTCCATTTTGGATTCCTTTTTAGAAGTCATGCCTACTTCCTGTAATTTACCATGGTTCCATTTCTTTTCTTTTTTTTCCCCCACATTTTCTTCATAAACTGCCTTTGGACTAACATAAAACTGATGTAAAACTATGATACCACCACAGGTACTATTCCAACAAACAAAGTAATAATTATAAAAACATGACGACCCATTCACTTTAAGGTTGATTAGTTCAGAAGTTGACAGATTACAGATTAACCCTAACCCTATGTTGGGGGGTCCGTCATAGGTGCTGCTAACCCAAATCCAGGGTACAGCAATAGTAGTAGACTCACAAATTCCTGGGAACATTGCGCAGCACAAAACTTCCATGAAGCAATATTGAAAACGTGGGCGACCAGCTATGTGATAAATACTACACGTGGTACAAAAACATGAGTCTAAAACTATGGAGATAAAAGCACAATTGAACCATCTGATCTTGATTTTCTCAATCAGCAAGATGCATCATGGGCTTAGTTCTTAAGCTATCATTGCTCCTTCCTTATGGTCATATCCCAAGATTCCATAGGAGACAAAAAAAAACACCACCTTCCAGCGAACCGGTTTGAACTGGTTTCAGATGGAGAGACGCGCAGGTTTAACCCCTGGAGAGACGGAGTGGCAGAAGGGAGAGCCATAGACACGTCCCACACTGAGCTGAGAAGTAAGTAGGGAGGGAGGAGCAACAAATTGTGTAGTCTCCGGACATTCCAAAACATGCGAGTGGGAGTATGTATGACAATTTTTTATGACTGCTGATAAAACAGTATAAGTTCTCTGACCTAATGTCACGCATAAAGGAATTTTGGGGGCAATCATAGTGGTAGTAATAAGTAGCAGTCATGGAGATAGCAGTAAAAGTGAGTAGCACCAGAGTGGTTTGTGGTGGGTAATAGCAATCAGCATTCAGTAAAGTGTGTAAAGTCCAGTATTGATTATGTTGACCACTCTCAATTTATTTAACTCATTATTAAACCAGGATAGACCCACTGAAATACAGAAATTTGGAGAGTCCTGGCCCGAAGAGGGAACTGTAAATGTATACTTTTTTGTACTGGGGGAAACTACACAAACATGGAAGAGAAGAGAAATACTCTACACAAAGTATCAAAAACTGTATAGATTCCACAGAGATACATTTTGTATCGTGGCCTTGGAATCGAGGTATGCATCGGCGATTTCATGATACCTAGCCCTATTTATGAGTACCACTATGACATACACCACAAATACATTAAAGGAACTATAATGTAAAATGCAAATCTCAAGAGAAGATCCAAACTTCAGCGACATTCTAGTTTGCATATGTGCTGTGAGGCCTAATGCTGCAAAAGCCCCATGCTGTGGTGCACAAGGGCAGATGTGCCCCGCTGTACCAGCCCTGGACACAAAGGACATCCATCCACATGACAGCTTATGTGCAGGGCTATATTCTAGGGAGTGTGCTCTCTTTTTATGTGCTAGAAAAGTCATGTGAAGACATAACATAGCAAAGTATCGCACAAGTTCACGGCTACACAGGATTCATACAATTCATATTTAAGCTATATAGTTAGACTGGTTGGGTATTCTGTACTTAATCTGCACTAAACACCAAACCAAAAATACAGTGTTCTGCTTAAAAAAGTTCAAACATCAACTTCTAGTCCCTCAAAGTGAGTACAAAACAAAATCATCCCACAAGCAACAATCAGAACTAACAGTGAATGATCTATAGAAGCACATTTTACCCGTATAAACATGTAGAACTAATTACTTTACAAAAAGGATCACTTTCATTCTAAACTCAAAGACTGACTGAAGAAAATACATCAATCATGGGAACACAAAAATCTTTAAGAGCTATTAAGAATTTGTTTTGGCGCAGCTTAACAGGAAAAAGAGATGGCCAAGAAAAGCTAATAACAGACCACAGTCTCAGGATACTGCACTGATCATTTCATGTTGAGAGTCTATTTGTTTTACACCAAGCATTAATACCATACAATTAATAAAATTTGTGTTTATGAATAAGATAAGTGAACATAATAAATTGTTAAAAGGAAAAAAAAAGTTTCATTGCTCCCAAAGCTCCATCAATCCACCCTACAAAACCAACTGAAACTGACACAACCATCTCACAAACAAGTCCGACTTGTCCATCAGCGGGTCCCTCAGGAAACACAGAGCACTGTGGAGTGCCGCGGTGAACCTCGCCAGTCTACAAGCACAGTTTGCTTCACGAGACTGCACCGTTTTGGTTTTTACTGTCCCAAGTGTCTGAACACAAGCCCTCTCTGG